TGGTGGCAGGAACTCCATTGCTGTTTATTCTTGACGCTTTCGGTATAGAGAATCTGCATCCATTTCCGAATGGTGAACAAATGCGATCACTCATTTTGGCAGCTGTTTTCGGTAAGATGGATTTAAATTAATTCAAGTACAGAGTCTGGGTCTACCTGGATTCACAGAAGTGAGGCACAATCTTTAGGGACTCTAGAAGTCATAAAATAGCATAATTGTGGCCGGGAGCTGAAGTATAATAGAATGTAACCGAAATATTTACTCTTAGATAGAGTTCACATAAGTAATACCGTTGATTCGCAGTCAGCTCTCAAATAAAGCGCAAGCTACAAGCTTTTACCCCTTTCATACTCAACAAACTCTTATATCAATGCAATACTCAGCACTATTTACGCATCTTACGTGTATGATTACTAATGCAGGTTGTTGTAGCGCTTTACTTCAGTTTTCGAAATTTTCAAAATGTTTGTGACTCTTTCCTCATTCTGTATATCGAACGGTAAATGTGAAATTCTTTGAGAAATTGGCTCGCTGTATTTGTAGATGTTAGAGACTGGAACGTTTTTTTCTCCTCACGCACTTGCTAATCGTTCGCAATCAAACCATTCATTATTTTCGCTTCCTCACCCGTTGAATTAGTCATTTGTTATGAAGTTTCTCTCTAAAGTTGTTTCTGTGTACTGTGTATTTTTCGCTTAAGCTTCACCGCCGTATAAGAGGAGATGTGAAATTTTTCGTTGACTTGAACACGAGAATAAGACCTCCTTTCAGCACGTGTAGTGAGATAAGTGAAAGTGTTGTTGTATTGTTCTGAAAAGCTTTTACAGTGGGCAGTTGATTGAACTGAGATTCTTCAAAATCCGTGAGCAATTCTATACAAACTTCGCCCTGCATCACATCCTATTAAAATACGACGAGGGTTTTGTTCTTGTTTTTCATGCTTCATGTTGCAGGTATTCTTGGCGACTACCTTTGGTTGACCGCTGCCGGACTAACTGACTCATTGTCGGCGTCACTCTCACTAACGCTGGCGATTCCATTCTCTTTTCTTGCTGACACTGTGATTCGAGCTCAGCCGCCATCTGGAGTACAAGTTCTCGCTGCCATCCCAATCATCTTATCATTTATCGGTGCAGCTGTGTCAGACCACAGAAATTCACCGAATCGTGGAACGGAAAC